ATCAATCGTCTCCTCTTGCCAAGCTGTGTAACTTGAAACCCAAAAAAGAAACACACAAGAGACTTGGAACCTAAATTATGGCGTATCGGAGAAGGCAAGGGATCGGAAAGTTTGCGACTTTCAAGGACGAGGTTGATCACCTTCCGCCGGAGATCAAGGATAGATCGCCGCCTCGTATTGACCAACCCAGATCTAAGGTTTCTCCTTTGTTTCCCATGATCCGCTCTTTAAAGTCTCAACCTTGACCACGCATACAATGACTCTTGTCACTGTTAAAACTAAACTTTCTGATCAGATTTGGCTCAGGTCGAATCTACTGATTATAAACTCGTCCCATTTGATCTTTTTATGTTTTCTGGCAGAATTTTACGGCATACGAGACCGAGCCAAAGGGCTTGTGGGGAGCCATAGCCCAGAAAGCGAAATCTGTCATTGAAGATGATTATAAATACACTGGTAGCTCAACAGCCTCTCAGGTTTTTGTATTGCTCTTTAAAGTCTCTACTAGTAGCTCAACATGGATGATCCATCCTCTTGATTTGACGTGATCATATGGTTTGGTCTTTGATTTGTTTCTAGTCCCGGTTGAAGAAAATGGATAATCCCAAGCTTCGGATAGGGCTCGATAAGCTTACATCTTCTCTTAATCAGATTGGTGACTCTTTTGAGAAAGCCTTCGAGGTGTGAGGTGTTTCTTCTTCCCTCTTCTTTTGGTTGAATTGCCTTAACATCTGTTCTTTGCTCCTCCAGGAAGGCCGGACACTCGTGGAGAACAAAACAGCTGATATAATCCAGGAAACACGAAAACTTCAAACAAGACGAAGAGGAACTGGTGGTGGAGAAGAGAATCAGAATCAATCTTATTCTTATGGAGTAAGTACTTCATGGAAAAAGTCTCCAGAGCAGCCAATGCAGTTGAATCCTATGGAACATGATACTCAACTCAATGCCTCTCGAGATGTAAGCTCCAGTTTTGATGGTTGATTAAACATTAATCATAGCTCTGTTCCTTGATAGTTTTTGTCTTGCGTGAGCTGCAGGTGGCTATGGCCACTGCTGCTAAAGCAAAACTCCTTCTCCGTGAGCTGAAAACAGTGAAAGCAGATCTTGCATTTGCGAAAGAGCGTTGTGCTCAGCTTGAAGAAGAGAATAAGCATCTGAGGGAGAACCACCGTGAGAAAGGAAGCAACCATGCAGACGAAGATTTGGTAAAGAATTGAGTGATCTAATGTCCTAACTTGTGTGTAGCATTTTCATCTAACAACTCGGTGTGGATGCTATTGTATCAGATTCGGCTGCAGCTAGAGAGCCTTCTAGCAGAGAAAGCACGGCTAGCTCATGAAAACTCGGTTTACGCTAGGGAGAACCGGTTCTTGAGGGAGATCGTAGAATACCACCAGCTCACGATGCAGGACGTTGTGTACATAGACGAAGGCAGTGAAGAGGTGACACAGGTTTACCCATTTGTGTCCACTTTCATGACTTCCGAGCCTACACAGCCACCAAGTGAAGAGATGATTAAAGAGGTTCTTGTCATCGCTGACAATAACATTCAGGAGAGTTCTCTGTGTGCAAGTAAAGTGGTTTCAGCATCTTGAATTCATTATATTTTTTTTAATTTCTTGTCGTGCTCGGGCATTCATTCATTAATAATATATATACACAAGAAAATCAGATTGTGTTTTTGCAATGGAATATATAAAAGGCGATTTCATATTAACAAATGACATTTGTATGAACATCTTCAAGGCATCAGTGGTGTCTTTCGTTCACAGCTCGAAAGGCATTGTATATAAATACTCTCTAAGAAAACTAGTGAGTGAGCAATCGGGTCTTTTTTACTTTGGAGTTTCTTTGTATGTGTGTTTGAATCAGAATATCTGGAAGAAAAGGCTGGTCGATCCATCACCGAATGATTTTAGATCTGCTGGTTTGACCAAGGCCCTGCACAGAGGGCACGTCCTCTCTCTCTCAAACCTGCCCAATCATAATCACATTACTTTA